GCCGGGTGCGCAGGAGAGCGCGTTCTGGGAGGACGTCATATGACATCCACCCAGAACTGGCCGACCGTAGTGCAGCCGTCATTCGGCTATCTGCGGTCGGCAAGTAGTTAATGCACCACAATGTGTAGATGGTTCACATCTTGTCGTATTATGTAAAACGCTGGCCCATTGTGGCTTTGTGCAGATGTGTGTGCGCACTGTGCTGCTGTGTCTAGCAGTAACCATGAATGCTGCCATAGCACAAATATGTAAACCTGGCCTTTGTTTAAGCACATGGATGCGTTCCCCTTGAAGAAAATGTCTAAAAAAAAAAAGAGGAGAGTGAAAGATTTGAGAAAAAGTCTGGCAGGTACACAGCACAGACAAAGAGATTGTAGGCTCAAGAGCCATCAGAATGATCTACCAAGGACATAAGCATAATGGCAATGATTGGGGAATGAATTATGATTTTGCATTCAGGATGGGAAATTAGTTTGCAGACATTTCCTGCATTATATAGATTTTTGAAATTCTGGTTACAGGAATCATTATCTGGTATAAATAGAGTCTTTATAGTATAAGGATAATAAAAACCCTTATATGTATTTGATGCTATTTACCTTTTATGCAAGTTTCAAGGTGCAATGTGTAGCTTCAATAGTCTAGGATTCAGGAATGTAGAGGCATTCATCTAATGCATGAGTAAAATTGCATGTTGAAATTCTTTAATTATTATACTGAAGCTAGAAGAAAGCGAGTCAATATGACACGTGAATACCTGCAAGGTTTGTGATCAATGGGAAACTGGGCAGTCTGTTTCTAAGAAACAGATATCATAAATGGGATCTGTTTACTTTTATGTTTTTTATCTGAATTGCTCTTGTAATTTTTGTTTTAATGTTTCTTTGCTTGGCACCTGGAGACAAGATATAGCTGACCTGCTGCTGCATCAAAACTTAATAGGCCATATCTATCAGGAACAACAGTTTAAAGTAGAAGTAAAACCAGTATCTAAAGTCTCATAGAAGTCTTAACACGTTAATGTCAGTTCTATTGTTTGTTTTCAATCTGCATTTATAAAAAGAAAAAAGAAAAGATGATCCAGGAATGAATGCCCTTGTTTAAGTATTTCTTCTGTATTATTGCCCTGTCACATGCACCCCTGGAGAGACAGCAACCAACACATTGCATAGGCATGGTTCCCCATTGTCCCCATTGTCAGAAAGCTGGTCAATTAAAGATATGCAGTAAAAGCTGGAGCAGGTGCATGAAAACAGTAAATGGTTGAAAAAAGGTTGGAGGAAATATCAGTTAACAAAACACAACATTATACTTTTTTTTTTGAAAGAACAGATATATAGCAGTGTGTTAAATATTAGCTGACACTGAAAGATCTCAAAGAGCTCTATATATTACTAGTAACCACAATGTGTTACATTGTTAAAACCTTTACAATTTACAGTGGCTTCACTGCCCATTCAGAATGTATATTTTGCAATTTGTTTTCCTGTGTCTCTGCATCGGTGTTGGTAGAATCAAATTTTGTTTATGGACCTAGTGTGTACTTAAAATTTTACCATTAAGCTAAAGTTCTCATCTACTCCATCTATGAATGGTAATGAGTTTGTTATAATCAGATGTCTTCTGTATTATTACTGTGCACACCACAATCATGGGTTTGCACCAAGTAAGATACAGGAGTTTATCATTTGTCTGGCTATGATTTGTGGAATGACCTAGGTTGCAGCTGGCTGTTTTTCATAAACAGAGTGAATTCCAATTATTGTATGATTCCAAGTATTGCATGATTTGTGCGGTATGATAATATATGGATTTTCCAAACTTTGATTTGACTTTCAGAGAAAATGTTGGCAGTAGTTCTCTGTCCGAGTAAACCATCCTTTACAGTGGTAGCAAATTTTTTTTTTTTATGTTTTACCTACAGGTAAGCCTTTAATAAGGCTTACCTGCAGATACTGTAAATAGCTCCTAAACCTGCACCGTTTAGGAGATATGTACTTTACCTGCGACGTTAATTTCACTGGCGCATGCCATCCATCGAAAGACCGCTGTCTCAGCTGAGACTGCCGGTTAGTGATCTTCACTTTGTGGCCCCACTGGGAGTGACACAGCCTTGTTTCACAAAATGTCCTCCTCTGTTTGCTGTAATCATGGCAGTCTCCAGCAGCCCTGCAGAGTATGACTTTCACCATAGAAATAGATGGCATCGTGGTGTGTAAGTACATGCTGAAAGAGGAAAATAATTCTGGCTCCCAATGGCATCATACAGTGAACATTGCTGGACCACAGATGAAGATAGGATAAGGTGGGTGCACTGAAAGGGATTGCCTCATTCATTAAAAAAACTTTTACTAAAGATACAATTGTCCTTTAAATTCTCACTGATGATTAAAAGTCGATTTAAAAAATATATTGCAATATTCCATAACCAAATAGTCTAGCAAAATGATATCCCACATGAAGGTGGTTTATTTGGAAGAATAGTTTCCTTCAGATTAATGATGCACTGCTGCAAGCAAATGGTGCATTCAAGCATCTTTTCCTCAATTTGAGCATTCATACATGCCTAGTATAACATATTACAGCTCTGTTTTTGTATTTCCCAACTTCTGTGTGTCTTGGTAATACTGTATTTGATTTATTAGCTCAATTTTCTTAGATTTGAGAGCAACAATTCTTTCACCCACTGATAAGATCACCCAAAAAAAAATTCTTCTTTAGAGTTCCTAAACTTTGCCATGGTTGGCAGACTATAAAGTTTTAACTTAAAGCATTACTAAACCCACAACAGTAAAATCAGTCGGTATATGCAGTAAAGCATGTTTGTTATACTCACTGTGGAATCTAAGGGGTTAATCCTCTGCATTGTGTAAAAATGCTGTTTGATGCTTTCTTCTCTGTTCCTCCCCTTTTTCAAGCAACCATCTCTTATCTCCAGACTGAACCATAGGCATGCTCAGTTTGGTGTGTATTGCTAGAGAGTTTATTTTTTCTTGGGAGAGTGCATGTTAACAGCACAGGATCAATCAGCACTGCCCAGACAGAGGTCAGGAGTTCTGCATCCGCCTAGAGCAGAAAGAAAACTCCTCCTACAAGCTTTAGCTAGTGCTGGGCTGGACATTGATAGAAGTCAAAAGACTGCTCTAACCTCTGATGAGAAACTGTATTTAGCAGTTTATATTTACTAAAATAATTGCACTTCCATGTACTGTGTACTGTGGGAGTCCAGATATAGTGAATGCAGGGTCCTGGGTTTAGTAACACTTTAAGGCTAGCCATTAAAGTGTTTTGTGTTTTTTTCAATGCGAAAACCTCAGGGATATTAGCTGTGCATCATTCAGTCTTCTCATGTTCTTGCCTAAAATGGTCTTAATACTTCCCAAGTAATGCTCTTGTTTTTGAGTGGTAGCCTGTTCAGGGTATCAACAGCTGTCTGTGTGTTACTTGACTTGTAAGTCACTACATGGTCATATTTTATAAGTGTAGCATCATTCTTTTTAGCCCAACTAACCACTTGCCCTCCAGGGGATTTGCCCCCCTTCCTGACCAGGCTATATTTTGAGATACAGTGCTGCATTACTTTAACTGACAGTTAAAGTAAAGACTGACAATTTTGAAAAAAAAAAAAAAACCAATATTTTTGACTTTTGCTATAAAACATATCCAGTGAAAAATTTAAAAAAAAACAAATTTCTTCATCAATTTAGGCCAAAATGTATTGTGCCACATGTCTTTGCTAAAAAAAATCCAAATACATGTAAATTAATTGGTTTACGTGAAAGTTGTAGCATCTACAAATGGCAGTATATATACTGACATTTTTTTTTATACTGGTAATGGGGGGAATCAGCGACTTATAGCGGGACTGTGGCGGGCATTCTGACACTGGGGAGGAACTGACTAACTGCCACTGACATCCCACTGACACTAATACAGTGATCAGTGCTAATAAAAAGCACTGACACTGTACTAATGACACTGGGAAGGAAGGGGTTAACATCTGGGGCGACCAAAGTGTTAACTGTGTGCTGTTAATGTGTTGCATGTGTGTGCCTTACTGTGTAAGCACACTGCCTTGTCATCTGGTGCTGACAGGGGAGAAATCTGTATTGTTTACATACAGACCTGGTGATCGACAGTTGTAGCCACCAATGGTGGCATGGGTAGGGCGCACCCCCTACTCAGAAATACAAAATCATGTATATATACGTGATTTTGCGTAGCCCTGCCGCCCTGTAGCAGTACTTCTGCAGTTACCCGTTACCCATATACACTATATTGCTAAAAGTATTGGGATGCCTGCCTTTACACACACATGAACTTTAATGGCATCCCAGTCTTAGTCCGTAGGGTTCAACATTGGGTTGGCCCACCCTTTGCAGCTATAACAGCTTCAGCTCTTCTGGGAAGGCTGACTACAAGATTTAGGTGTCTATGGGAATGTTTGACCATTCTTCCAGAAGCACATTTGTGAGGTCAGGCACTGATGTCAGACGAGAAGGCTTGGCTCACAGTCTCCGCTCTAATTCATCCCAAAGGTGTTCTATCAGGTTGAGGTCAGGACTAGTCAAGTTCCTCCAGCCCAAACTCTCTCATCCATGTCTTTATAGACCTTGCTTTGTGCATTGGTACACAGTCATGTTGGAACAGGAAGGGGCCATCCCCAAACTGTTCCCACAAAGTTGGGAGCATTAAATTGTCCAAAATGTCTTGGAATTCTGATGCCTTAAGAGTTCCCTTCACTGGACCTAAGAGGCCAAGCCTAACCCCTGAAAAACAACCCCACACCATAATCCCCCCTACACCAGACTTTACACTTGGAGGTTAGGCAAGTACTGTTCTCCTGGTAACCGCCAAACCCAGACACGTCCATTGGATTGCCAGACAGAAAAGTATGACTTGTCACTCCAGAAAACACGTCTCCACTGCTCTAGAATCCAGTGGGGGCCTGCTTTACACCACTGCATCCGACGCTTTGCATTGCACTTGGCGATGTAAGGCTTGGATACAGCAGCTCAGCCCTGGAAACCCATTCCTTGAAGCTCTCTACACACTGTTGTTGTGCTAATCTGAAGGCCACACGAAGTTTGAAGGTCTTTAGATATTGACTCTGCAGACAGTTGGCAACTTATGTGCACTGCGCACTTCAGCATGCGCTGACCCCGCTCTGTCATTTTATGTGGCCTACCACTTTGCGGCTGAGTTGCTGTTGTTCCCAGTTGCTTCCACTTTGTTATAATATCACTAATAGCTGACCGTGGAATATGTAGTAATAAGGAAATATCACGGATGGACTTATTGCACAGGTAGCAACCTATCACGGTACCACTTTTGAATTCAACGAGTGCCTGAGAGCAACCTATTCTTTCACAATGGTTGTAGAAGCAGTCTGCATGCCTAGGTGCTTGATTTTATACACCTGTGGCCATGAGGTGATTGGAACACCTGAATCCAATGATTTGGAGGAGTGTACCAATACTTTTGGCAATATAGTGTATGCATCGAGAATAATGTCCACACTTAACACAATGGCATATACAGTATAGACATATCTGATCTCTGTCTTTGTTAACATATCTCTATGCTTTTGTTTGGAGGCATCTTTTGGCATGTTAAAATATACTAATACTCCTGTATTGGCAGTGAGCAGGGGCAGACTGACAACTCATAGGGCCCCCGGGCAATAGGGGATCATGGGGCACCGTATCCTTGCCAAAACTCAAAAAGCCTATGAAAAAGGTACCAGGGGCATCTCATGGGGCCCCCTACTGACCCCGGGCCCTCGGGCAGTGTCCGAGTTTCCAAATTGTCAGTCCGCCCCTGGCAGTGAGTTATTTTCTTTTGTCAAATACATTATTCTGTTAACATTCCTACTGAAAGCTAGAGTTTTTCTTTAAAGGTTCTATCAAAGGTGATAGCACATCAGCAAAATGTGGAATTCATTGTGAGAAATAACTGGCCATTCTCAGGACTGTCTCCAGCTTTGACCAATTTTCAGTGGGGTCTTATTAGAGATTGCTGGAATCTGGTTTTAGCTTTCTGATGTCATTATATTGCCAAACATAACTAAAAATATGCTGTGCTGCAAACAAATAAATGAACAAAAAGTATATATGAAGGTGTATAGAGTGTGGTATACACTCAATAATAAAATGAATGTCCATATAATGTGAAATAATCAGTGATATTGTGAACAATCCAACTCTTCACAGCTCATTTGCTTCTTTATGTGCTCAAAACCCGCACCATTAGATAAGTGCTATAACCATGCCGGCATTGTCACCTCAGTGCTCACAGAACTCTCACCTTAGAGAAATCAAATTGTGCTTAATAATGCCACATCAGTAAGGATTCCTTCACTCTCCCGATCATTAGCCTTGTAGAAATTGTCAAACATCTTTTTACTTTAAAACAGCATCAAACTAGATATGGGATCTAGGCCCTTTAAGGGGGGGGGTGGTTGTTGGAGGTGGAGGTCTGAGATAATCGCCCTTAATGAAGGAGACAAAAGGACACTCCAATGGTGCAGTATGTACTAACAAGGGTGTCTTTATTATGTTAAAAAGTATTTCACTCACATGTAAATATAAGTAAAAATGCCATAAATCAGGTAAAAACATCACCAGATGAGCTGCACTTCCAGGTAGTGTTAGACACAGTTCATTTCTGCCCACAGCCACACCCTTACGCGTTACGTCACGCCCACGTGACTTCATCAGAGGGATCCCTGTAAGAAGCAAATGAGCTGTGAAGAGTTGGATTGTTCACAATAGCACTGATTATTTCACATTATATGGACTTGGTTTATGGACATTCATTTTATTATTTAGTGTATACCACACTCTATTCACCTTCATATATGCTTTTTGTTCATTTATGTATTTGCAGCGCAGCATAGTTTTGAAGTATTTATGTTTATCGTTTAGTTGTGGGAACACATTTAATGCTAGCAGCAGCTCCATTTCACTATTATTAGTCTTCACTTTTTCTTTATGTTATTCACTAGGTAGCACAGGAGATGTTTTTGATTTTGTTTATTATATTACCAAACACCTAATGTTTCTTGATTCTTTAATTTTATGCTTTGAACTAAACTTCTTTTCTCCTGGATCTTTCAAGCGTAACTTTCAAACTGGAATCATGATTTCAATCATGCTGCCAAACATTAAAATGTCATCCAAGTAATAGGCTACCCCTTTGAGTCAGGCATATGTTTCATCTAATTTATTTTGGAATACTTCCTTTGCAGGTTTATGATGCCAATTGATATGTGGATAAGGCACTACCTTTCTTGTATTGTGTCAAATGTTACAAGCAAGGAATAGTCATTGCTAGCTTTTTCTGCCAATACCCCGACTTTACATCCAAAGCAATAAATGATTTTGACCAGCCAATCTAGGTATTTGATAGTGTTTTACAGCCTTAATTGTGGTCTAGTCCATGACTGACATCCTTGTTCTCAGTAAAGTTGAACTCTAGATTGAGCTCCCTAAAATTCTAATGATGTAAAAAAGTAAGTGGAAATTGTTGATTTTTTCTTCTTTTAATTAGTGCATACAGATAAAAGGTGATATGCTTGAATAAAAGCACAAGGAAGATGTGCCTTTTTAAAAATGTATTCAACAAATATATTAATAAATATACCAACACACTGTAAGAAAAGTAAGTATACCCTTTGCCTTGGATGTTTTGTCCCCCCTCCCCCCTTTTTGTAGGAATTTTGCATAACTGCCCACTACTCTCTTTTATCAAACACTTTTGAACCACTTCCATGCAAAATTCCTTCAATTGCAAGATGGTTGTGAGTTTCCTTGCATGAGCTGCTGATTTTAAATCCTACCTCGATATTTCACTGACATTTAAATTAGGGTTTTGACTTGACCAGTCCATAACCATTCATTTCTTCTTTTTGAGCCATTCTTTGGTGGATTTGCTAGTGAGCTTTAGTCATTATTGAACCAAAAAATCCTTTTCAACTTTTTGGACAGATGGTTTCACATTCTCATTAGCCACACTGATAGAAAATTCATAGTTGACTTGATGACTGCAAGCTGCCAGGCTCAAATATTACCCTAAGAAAGAACATTTTCATTACAATGCTTCACAGTTGGTAAGGAGTTTTTCTCCTGAAATACTATCTAAGGTTTTGCACCAAACATGTCTACTGTTACTGTGGCCAAATAATTCTTATTAATTCTTTAATTCAAGTCCACAGCACATTGTTCCAAGAGGCCTAGTTGCCTACACTGGCAAACTCTAGTCATCTTTAAGGTTTTTTCCTGCCACACCTTTGATGCAGGTTAATTGGTTCAATCAATTTCAGATTATGGATGCATGCACCTTGACTGCAACTGCAAGCACTACTTACATTCTAAATTCAGAGCAGCATCTGCTGCTATGGCATGTGGCTGTCCACACTTCTAGGTCATACCTAGATTACGGAGACCTCCTACAATTGTCTTGCCTACTGAACACACACTTGCTGCCAAATTCAATAAGAGTGGCACAGCCTCTACCTGCTGTCTTTCCTGGATCCAATCAGAATGGTGCACTCTTCAAGTGTTGTTTCCAATGTTTCTGCCACATCCAATCACAGCAACTTCCCTCCTCTGCTGGATCTATTTAAACATAGCTTCCAGCTCGCTGCCTAAGCATTGATTTTACTAGTTAGCTGCCATGCCTCTGGTGAGCTTTCCTACTGTCCAGCCTACATTCTTGTCCACTGATATTCCTGTTTAAAACACATCTGGATTTGTTTCCTTTAATGCTTGTCTGCTGCCTGCCTAGACAACTGACTTGTTCTTGGTTATCTATGTCTGCTGTATGTCCTCACCTCTGCCTTGTTCCTGGTTATCCGTAACTGTTGCATGTTCTGATCATCTATATTCACAGCCAGGCCTATGGACTGTTACCTAGTTACATATTTTGCTTTACTTTTACCTGCAGCTAACCTGTCTACTCAAGACCTGCTTCCTGGTGTCCTGACTCAAAGGGGTAGCCTGAGCAGGGTGAACCCAGGGGTCATTTACTGTAAATCTAAATCCCTGTAAGGGGGTTCTTAGTGAATACCATCTGGCTCCTAGACTCCATGCCCTAGGGCAGGGGTAGGCAACCTGCGGCTCTCCAGCTGTTGCAGGACTACAAGTTCCATCATGCCTCTGCAAGTCATAACTGTAACTGTCAGTTTTGTAATGTTGCAATGCCTCATGGAAAATGTAGTTCCACAACAGCTAGAGAACCACAGGTTGCCTACCCCTGCCCTAGGGGATCTCATTGCCCCTTTTCTCAAGTTGAACCATCCTCTTAATTGGGTGAGTCTTGATCCAGGGTTCCACATTGATGCAGTTGCCATTCTGACATTTTAGGGTTCTTGGAGACTTCTTTTAGAATCAAATGGTCAGCTTTTCGGCTGAATTTGCTAGGCCTGCCAAGGCTAGTATGCCAGCCTAGACTAATTAGAAGTAATTAAAAATCTATGTAATATAGATTAATTTTCCTATACCTGAATAACTGATCTCAAATAATTTGATTATCTTTTTAAATATCTTGCCAGATACATAGGTATCCACAACCTTCTTCCTGAGTGTTAGAGTGCACTTTTGAGCTTGGCATGATGACACCACATATATCAATCGCAAAGAGAACACTAGACCATAGATATCTAATGTTCGAATAAGACCCACCTGCAAAGTCCCTAAGGAGGTTCTAACCATTGGCAGTTAATTTAGAACAACTGCTAACATTTCATGGATTTTAAGAGGTGATAACTGTAGATATACTTACTTTGCCTGTGACAGATCTGCATATTTGTTAATCTAACTTATGAGAATGAATATATTGTGTCAATCATATGTACTGTATTGGTGCATCTGTTTGAGTTAGGCAAGGGTTACACATATGACTAAACAGAGATTAAACTGTTTGTTGACAGTAACCTTGTTTGGAGCACACTGAAATCAATGTGCTCACTCAAAAGTCAAATCACTCAACCACGAAGAGATGTAATCATTTGTCCAGCTAGGAAATGCCATGGGCACATAATAAGAGATGTTCTGTCACCACTGAGTTTGCTTTTGGAGTCGTGTATTTTTTGCATAACCATGTTGGGGAATGTCAGGCTCATAATATATATAATACATTGAAGCTGGATTTTGTTGCAACACAGTTGATGAATACTATATAGCAGCAAACAAAACCATCTGGATTCACTTTCATCCGTGTGCAGTGCAGTGAGCCTGGTAGTGCATAGTCTTGGGTGTATAATGGTCTTACTTAGTGTTCCTGTCCATTTACCAGAGAACTATACTACAAGGTTGGCCAGTCCTTTGAAGAAATGGCTAAGAATAAGGATATTGTTTTGGAGTGACTTTGAAGGATGGGGGAGGAGAAGGAG